CTTGCGCTGACGGGAATGGTGAAATACACCTCCTTGAACGTTGACGCACCTGTCATTATGGCCCTTCGCGAGGTGGGAGCACCGCCATTTCTGCGAATTCTTGTCGACATTGGCACAATATCGGGTCTTAGCTCAGTTTGTTTTGCCTGCCACTTTGCGATGCCTCGCCTTGTCATGGCATTAGCTAAAGACGGACTTTTGCCACCTGTATTGTCCTGTGTGCATCCTCGACTGAAAACCCCTGTGAATGCTACATTATTTTGTGGTGTAGCCGGTGCTCTCATTGGCGGACTATTCCCGCTGGAAATGCTTGGCGAGATTATTTCGCTTGGTACACTTGTGGCTTTCACTATTGTGTGTGTCTCCATGTGGAAAATTCGAATTGATTTTCCGGACTTTCCGAGGCCGTTTGTTGCCCCATTTTTTCCTTTTGTTCCTCTTCTTGGGGTTACGTTCAATTCTTTACAAATGTTTTTCTTGCCGCTGGTAGCGTGGCGCAACTATATCGTAGTTGTGGTAATTTCCTTATCCTGGTACCTCTTCTACGGGATCCGACACAGCAAACTGCACACACTGGACCCCTCTTCTTGGCGCGGTTTTGTTTACACCGAGAGCGGCACTGCACCGCATTCATCTAAAGAGGAGGGGCGAATGGAAGAGGCTTGCTCGCTTGAACTTCCCATGGAGATGGCGGGGCGAAGACGAACCTCCTTTGTGTCGGTATAAATTTCTGGAAACATCTCTTGGAGGTGAAACAGGAGGGAAATGCAATACAATGTAATATGTGAATATACAGATTTTCCTTTTTATTTGCTATGACTGTTCGGTTCTTGCTTCTGCCGTTTGTGCGTTTTCACCTGGCCCCAGGCAATAGGTTAAATCCGACCGGATTGTGACAGACGTGCGTTTATTTATGTTCTGCATTTTTCCTCAGTGAATCTCCTCTTGAGAAGATGGGAAGAAGCATGGCAGACAAAAGGGAGCAAGTATGAGTGAGTAATTGAACAAGTTATATCGAATACGCCTATTATTATTGTCATTATTGTTATATATATATATATATATATATATATTGTTACTATTATTTTAACGTCCCCACGATATGAAGAAATTGGCGTCCATAACCATCAATTTTATCCTTTTCCCCTTGGTCTTCTCTTTATTTGTTGCATTCTTCTTGAAGGTACCGCAAGGATACATAAATATATTTAATAAATTTATTTTAGATATATATCTATCTACAAAGTTCCACCTCTTGTTTACCGAGTGAAAAATACAACAGATAAAGATGATTTACTCTGGCGAGATAGAGAATGGCCAGATGCATGGTCGTGGGTGCCTTCAATACCCGAATAATGAGACTTACGATGGTGAATGGGTTTTTGGTAAGCGCCACGGTCATGGAGTATACACATACGTTGATGGTAGCCGCTATGATGGAGAATGGGTGGAGGACAGAGTGCATGGAAGGGGAACATGCTACTATGCCAGCGGAAACAAATACACCGGAGATTGGGCTTTTGGTCGAATCAATGGCCGAGGTGTCCTGGAATATCACGATGGGGATCGCTACGAGGGGGACTGGAAGGATGGACGCATGCATGGCAAAGGCGCCTACTGTTACTCGAATGGTGACAGATACGACGGCGAATGGAAAGATGACAAACGCCACGGTAAAGGTGTTGTTGTTTACGCAGCTGCCGATGGTTCTGTTTCTGAGAAATATGACGGTGAATGGATGGATGGCCGCATGCAGGGATGGGGAAAATACTTTTACGCGGATGGTGGCGTTTATGAGGGTGAATGGAATGACGGAAGAATGCATGGAAGAGGAACGTACGTCTTTCCAAATGGCAACAGATATGAGGGTGAATGGGTGGAAGACAGAAAACACGGTTATGGCATTCTCGTGTACGTCAATGGGGAGCGGTATGAGGGGTACTGGCAATTTGACCGAGCCCATGGTAAAGGAACCTTGATGTACCTTCAAGGTGATCGCTACGTTGGAGAGTGGTCTAATGGGAAGAAACATGGCCGAGGAGTTCTCACGTATAGTAATGGTGACATATACGATGGTGAGTGGCGTGACGACAACGCGTCGGGTTATGGTGTTCTTGAGTACGCAAATGGTTGCCGGTATGAGGGTGAGTGGGAGGAGGACCACCGACACGGCCAAGGTGTCCTCCACCTTCCTGATGGCTCCAGCTACGAAGGGGGATTTTTCCATGGTAAAAAAGAGGGTAATGGCCGAATCATACTCAAGGATGGATCAATTTATATCGGCACATGGAAGGATGGAAATATCGTGGGACAAGGTGAGTTCAGACTCTCCGAGAGTTGTGATCTCAGCAATCCAGACTACTGAGAATATGTTGTAGATCTTTTATTTTTCATGTGTTAATTCTTCTGTTTTTTTTTATTTTATTTCCTCTATTTTGGGAAGCAACTGTATGGGATTAATTAGCTACATTACTTTTTCTCTCACCCGAATTTTTCCTCACCCCATTTTTTTTATTTTTATTTTTTGTCTTTCCTCCTTCTGCGTTCTTGCTTTCCCCATTATTTTGCTCGTTCTTCTCTTTCTTCTTTGTTCTGCAAAAAAAAAAAAAAAAAAAAAAAATTTTGGTTATACCTGGGAGTGGGATGGAGCATATTGGGAACGAGGTGAGTTGGAGGTGGAGACGGAAGGTAATGGCGGTGATTTTTGTGGGAGAGGGGGATGAGGGTGCACAGCTGTTGCGGCAATAGTATTAACGAAAATTTTCTGGTGGTGGCGGTGGTTTTGTGGGGTTGTGAAGCGTAATCTCATTTCTGATGCACCAGCTGGTGATCGTGTGTGTGTGTGTGTTTGTGTGTGTTTGTGTAGATGGACAGCGGTAGAGTGTGTGTTCGCTGGTTTGTTTAACTGTTGAGGACTCATAGAAGACAACAAGGGGGTGGCCGAATGGACATGTCTCCCCTCCCCCTGTTTTTTCCCTCACTTCAGTGCACGCCTTCCCCGCAACCAGATTTTCTTTATTTTTTGTGGTAGTGGAGCGACGTGGACGCTGCATAGTGAGTGGGGGGTCACTCTCTTTCTCTCTCTTTTTTTTTTTGTCCCCATCTCCCTTATGTCCATACGGGACCATGCATGGGGAATGCGCTTGTACGGGGCGGATAACCAACCATGGAACCCTTTTTTTTTTTCTTTTTTTTTTTTTCAGGACTATTTTATTGCATTATTTTAAGAGGTCCAAAGTAGCGTCATTTCATAAACCGAAGCATAGTTTTCTCAAAAGGAAAAACAAACAAATAAAAACAAAACTGAAAAAAAGGAAGGCATTGGGCGTAAAAAGGAACTATTATTTGCTGTTGGCTTATTAGTCATCATACATTTTTATTTTATTATCGTGCTTGGTTGGTTTTGTTTTTACAATACACTAATGGAGGCCATTAAAGGCTTGGCGCGCCGCACAACCCAGAGCATCAGGGAAAAGGTTAAAAACAGGGAGGCGACAGGCCACGATGAATTGTTGGAAGTGACGAGCAAAAAGGTGCTTCAGTACCAGAAGTCCGGCGAAGTCATTTGCAGCAAACTAATACGTGCCGCGGGTCTCATTGAAGAGCTAGGCCGACTCCTGAAGGATGTCGGGGAGGAATACCAAAGCATATCGGATTTGCCGCAGGAGTCGAGCCAACTTGCGACAGATGTCTTGGATATGGGCACAAAACTTGTTGCCACGGCACAGGAGCATCAAAAAGGTTTGAAGGAGGAGGGTTTTGATGTGTTGAATGCCTTCATAAAGAACACCAGTAAGTTGAGGGATGCGGAGGAGGCCCGTCGCAAGAACCGGCTAGAGTACGACTTTTTTCGCCAAAAGGTACTTGACCTGCGTTCTTGTCCGCCCAAAGACACATCACGTATTCCACGAAACGAGCAAAAGATGGAAAACTGGCGTGTGGAGTTTTGGCGAGCCACTGAGAACCACAAGGCAGTCTGCTCCCAGCTTTATGTTGAGGGCCAACGCGCCATTGACCTTAGCGTGCTGACTCTTACGAAGGTCCTTGGGAGTTTCATGAACATTGCTGGGGATGGCTTTAAGCAACAGTTCGTCAATGCGCGGCTGCCGGTGTATCCGACCGCACCTATTTTAACTCCAGCGCCACTCCCGCCAAATCCGATGCCTGCTTTTCAGCCGCTCTATAATGCAGGGGGCCACACCACTGTTACCTACGGACAACTGCAACAGCAGCTACCCTGGCCACAGGATCAGCCACCACAGTCACAAGAACGCCAGGGGTGGCAGGAAGGCTACCCATCCGGCTGGTCACAACAGTGGCAACAACAACAACAACAGCCATCTTCGGTTGAACCTCACATTTCGCAGCATCAGCATTCATGGGGGCAAGTACCGCCTCAACTGCAGCCGGTGTTTGAAAAATGGCAGACGCCAGAACAACAACAACAACACCAACAACAAGGCCGGAATTTGTCACAGCAGAACACATCACCTGTTGTCAGTCTGCATGCATCTTCAAACAACTATCGGTCTTCGGATTTTGCCTACACGAAGCCATCTGAAGGTAACGGGAACGGTATTTATCTGCTGAATTCGCCTAAAACCTCAGCGTCATCATTGGCTGAAGGCAAATAGTATTTTTTTGTTTATTTTCATTGTGCTTTCCTCTTTCGGTGCTTCATGAAGCAACTGTGGGGAACAGATGGTGGATTGCAGGGTCGACCTTATTTGTGGTTTGCAGTTGCTAGAAAAGCAAAAGGGCGAGCGAGATAAACCCACTCAAGCCCGTTTTTTTTTATTGTTTATGTTTTTTTTTTTTTTTTTGTACGTAGATGCCCTTAGAGCGATCCTTTATTGATCCTGGCCATGCTTCCATGGGGTGCGAGGCCGGGCTGATTCCCCGTCTCCGGCGAGATTCCATTGTACGCGGTGTGCTGGAGGAAAACGAGGACATGCTGCGTGAAATCGATCTTCTTCGTGACACGGTGACAAAACAGGCGCAAGAACTTTTTACTGCGACAAAGCGCATACACGTTTTAGAATCAAGGCTTGCAAGATTAGGGGCCGCTGAGGATGCATCCCAAGAAAGGACGGATGACAGCGACAATGTTGAAGAAGTTACTTCCGTGGACAAGGCTGGGATTTTGCGTTCCATCTTTAGGGCTATTTCCTCGTGCCAGTTTGGCGATCGTCACACAAGGATACGTGCCTACAAGCAAGGGCTGGTGCGGAAATCTGCTGAAAAAGCCAGAGACTTTGGGGAAAAGTCTGAGAAAAAGTCCGAGTTGCTGGGGAAAGAGCAGCAGGACTTTTTGGGACATGCATTTCATGAATCGAACAAGCGGTTGGATGAGGTGTCTTCCCTTCTTCAGTCCTACCGCGAGACACCAAGTTTTTTAGTGAGTGCGTACGATGAATTGGTAATTGATTGTATGGTGGAAATTATTAGATTATCGAAGAAGATGAATCTTATGACAGTTGGTGATTTTGGGGCTCCACCAGATTAAGCGAGACGCCACAGAGTTGTCTATGGGAGGCAAGTTCACAATGGTGCGTAACCTGCAACTTCCCTAGTGCCTAAAAACCTCTGAGTGGTTTGACAGTGACGCTCCTCTTGCAGCGTATTTCTTGGTTTTTTTAAGCGATTACGATTCCTCTTATTATTATTATTTCTTTTTTTCTTGTTGTTGCGACAAAACGGTATAAGACGCATTTAGATGTATTTACTCATCTGCATATTTATCCATATATATATATATATATATATATATATATATATATATATGCATTTAGGTTCATATGTTTATCTTAAAATATGTACGCATTTATGTACAGATATATATATTTTGGCACCTTGTGTTTTTATTTTCTATTTTATTTTATATATAAAAGGCAAAGGGGAACCATGAAAATCAGGGCACAGGACCGCATCACATATCCGGAGGACGTCGAGGTCTCCGTGAAGGACCGCATCGTCACCGTCAAGGGGAAGCGGGGCACACTCACGAAGGACCTCCGTCACCTGCAGCTGGACTTCCGTGTGAACAAGAAGTTCCGCACCTTCACTGCCGTTCGTTGGTTTGGCACAAAAATTGACAACTCGACCATCAACACGGCACTTTCACATGTGCGCAACATGATTACGGGTGTGACAAGGGGCTTTCGTTTTAAGATTCGCTTCGCCTACGCCCACTTTCCCATCTCAGTCTCCGTGGAGAACCAACTTGTGGAGATTCGCAACTTCCTTGGCGAGAAGCGTGTTCGCCGGCAGGTTGTTGCCGATGGCGTCAAGGTCTACCGCACGGACCCCACCGTTGTGAAGGACGAACTCGTGCTGGAAGGCAATGACTTGGAGGAAGTCTCGCGCGAGGCCGCCGTGATGCATCAGCTCTGCCTGGTGAAGAAAAAGGATATCCGCAAGTTCCTGGACGGCATCTACGTGCAGACCAAGACCAACGTCGTGGCGGAGGAGTAGGATCCCTTTTGGCCAGATTTTTTTTTTTTGCTGTTGTTGTTTCATCTCGATTTTTAATAGTTTTTTCCTTTTTTTTTTTTTGTTGTTGTTCTTGCTGTATTATGCGGCGTTGTTGTTTGCGCGGCTTTCCACATTTTTTCATGGTGTACACCTTTGACAATTGTCATTTGTTTTTTTTTTTCTTCATTTTATTTTATTTTATTTTTTTAAATTTTATGAAATTTTTTCAATAATTTTGGGTTGAGAGCGGGAGCGTGTAAAGGGGGAGGAAGGAGGCCAATTATGCGTACATCGCGGGGGTTCTGCATGTCCATGTGGGACAGTCCCGCTTTTGAACACAACCCTCTTTCGCGGTACTGGAAACGAATGATGAAGCAAAATGGTGAGACACTCACTGCTCAGAGCATTCCACGACACATTCACGGCTACATTGAGGCATCATGCCCCCGCACCGAAGGTTTGGTGAGATGGTTTCCATACAAGAAGGAAATAACGGTTGACGGACGCTATGTTCCGACAATTAGTGATGCCATTTATAGTTATTACTTTCCTCGTGAACTTAACGACGATGAGCGTGTTAAGTATGTTGCAATCAAGACGGGTCGCTCCGAGTTGGAGGTGGCAGAGGAAGTATTTCTTATGCGCAAAATGAAGTTGTTTGTCGCTCAATTACTGCGTAATAAGCTGCGCAGTAGGCCATTGCGTATGCCTGAGGGGGTTGACTACTCGGGTATTGAGCGACGTTACACGCTCGGTATTTCAAGAGTTGCCCAAGCTATGGGGATGAGCATGTACGGCACGCAATCGTACGATCCTGTTATTGTATATTCTCCATATTGTGATATCGGCGACTGTATTGACTGCATTTGTACTAAACAGCTGCGGACGGCTACACAGTACTTGCTATGTGAGGTGGCCGTACACCGTGGTATCGCACGTAGTCGAATGACGGACGTCACGAGTGAGCCGAAAGAGCCCTTGTCACACGTTGAACCCTGTCTGTTTGAGTTTATCAAATTGCGTTTGGCCATCTTGGCATTGGTAGCAAAGCAAGAGCATTATGTTGTGGACCACCTGTTTGATGGGGGCCACAGGTACGGCGGCTGCTTAATTCACCTGTTTCCCTCACCTCTCGATCCTGAAATTATTGACCACGAGGTGAACCACATCGAACTGGACCTTGACCTGGCGCAGAAATGGATGAAGCACTACTACGACCACTACGTGGCGCCTAGACGATCAGGTTAATTTTATTGCCAAGTTCTTTTTTTTTTTTTTTTTTGCAATTCTCTTCGTTTATTCGTTTCAATAAATAAATATATAAATTATTAATGATTTCTGTTTCCTCTTTTTTTTTCTTTTTTCCTGTGTAGATGGACTGGTAGTGTGGATGACGGGGAAGCAAAAAATGTGCCCGACCAAATCTGGCACTGCAAAGGATAATATGTGGATTCAGCGAACTGAGGCATTGTCTCAGCGATCGCAGTCGTTTACGTCTCGTGAGCAGCATCGAAAAGAGGTTCGTCTCCGTGCCCAGCGGATTTTGGAGGATAACTGCCGCAGCATGGAGGAAAGGCAACGCGAAAAGGAAGAATTGGCAAACAGGGTGAGGTTGGCCGCAATGCAAAGAAGGCTCACGGACATTCAACGGTTAAACCGCGCGACGGAGAAAAGGGTGCAACATGCCAAAATGCTTCAAGAGGGTCAAATGCAGGCCCGTGGGGAAAAGCTTCAAGCTGCTCTTCAGAAACTAGACGAAGCTTCGTATCGGCGTGAAAAGACGTTGACGTTTTATCGTTTGCGCACGGCACAGCAAGTGCTTTCGACTTCTGAGCGGGCCAAAGTCAATCGTTCTTTAATTGAGAGGGAGGTACGGGCAAGACAACGCCTCCATGAGGAACGTGAGGAGGCTCGCGAAAGGGCTGCCGAGGAGGAGAAAATCAATAGGGAGATTGAGTTGCAGCAACGTGGGCTTCTTCGTGATCAACGTGTATTGAACTCAATCGAGTACCAAAGACAAAGGGATCATCTTATCCGTGAAAAGGGACTGCAGCGTGAGCGTGAACATGAGGAAAGACTCCAGCAGCACAAGCTACAAAAGGGAAGATGGGGTTTTGGGAAAGCTTGGTGCGATGCGAATGGAGTCGAAGTTCCATCTAGCGCGTGGCAATCGTGCGGAAAGAATGCGTCGGCTGGCGGGAACGACGACAAGAAAACTTGTGCTTATCGCCGTGCAGTGACTTCGTTAGGTATTATTTTATGTTGAATGGTACCATAATGCTTTGAAAGTTTTTTTTTCCATCTGTGCGTGCTTCATGTGAGTGTATGCGGGCTTTTTGCCCCTTTTTTTACTTTTTTTCTGTGCTTCTCCTTCTGCGTCCGGCAACCTAATGCGTTTATATGTTTGCTCCCGCAGATGGAGCGGATGGGGGAGTGCGGGCAGCTGTGGCGTGTGTTTTGGAATTTATTGGGGTGCCTACTTTTTGTGTATATTTGCTGCTGTGATTATTATTATTTCCTCGTTAAATGCTGATTGATGTTATTCATTCGGTGTTTTTTCTTTGTATTGTTTTTTTCTGTTGGTGTTGTGAGGTGTACGTGAGAGAGAGAGAGAGAGAGGGATCCACTTAACTTATCTCCATTCTTTTTTGCGGTTTTTTTGATTGTTTCTTGAAGTTGTTGTTTGTTTGTGTGTGTGCTTTCAAGTATCGATGCCGTCGGTTGTCAGCGGGCCGCATGCAGAGTCCATTCTCTGTTCCCTGAGCCCAGAGGAGGTTGATATGCTGCGCGACGCATTCATTTATATGGATCGTGACAATGACGGTCATGTAAGTAGGGACGAGCTGCTCACAATGGTGCACCGCTGTGTGGGCGATGAGCGCTTTTCCCCACTCAAGGAATACCTGGTGCCTCTCTTTGATGTGGCGGACAAGGATAAGGACGATAAACTGAGCCTCACCGAGTTCTTGCTGTCGTTTGCAGACGGACCAGGGGTGGTTCCCGCGGAGGTCATCAGTAGCTGCGTGTCGTCTATCCGTGTGCGTCTCACTGACGAGGAAATTGAAACACTCCAGGAGACATTCCGTCGCATTGACACAAAGGCCGATGGTTTTATTGATAAGGAGGAGCTCATTGTCGCTCTCAAGGAAAACCTTAAGCACCGTTTCCCCGATTTGCATGACAATAACTTCAACGACATTGTGGCGGTTATAATGGCCAGTGCAGACACCGACCGTGATGGTCGTTTGTGCCTTTCAGAGTTTATTCGCTCATTTCAGGAGGATCAAGGTGTGCTACCAGCAGCCTTCTTGGATGCTGGGGCACGTAAATTGGTACAGAAACTAACTCCGGCTGAAATTGAGATTCTCAAAGAGGCCTTTGCCGTGTTGGATAAAAACCACGATGGTTACTTGGAGTACTCTGACATATATGATGCTCTGTGGGAGACAATTTTTGACAGTTCAGGGGATAAAACCCAGATACGTGAGCTTTGTGATCTCATCATGGTTACCGCTGATCACGAAAAAAGAGGGA